TAAGATAGGTTGCTTTTTTTAGTAGCAGAAACAGTATCACATTCATCTTTGTATTGTCCAACCCTGGTAACATAGTAGTACTCAAGTAACATTGGTTGATGGAGATAAAAGATGCTGAGCCTAAATGAGGGAAGACCAAATCAACGCATAATATAATGAGAATCAAGACTTGGATAAATAATTACCTTAAAAACAAAGCCATGTCTTGAGCATAGACCTTCACAAATACTTGCCCCAAAGAGTTCTGTGTAATTAGCTAAAATTTGATTGGCAATTGGTGCTTATTCATGGACAGCATAAAGTTAGTGTCAGAAGACTGAAAAGGTGAGATGGAAAAGAAGTAGTAATGGCCGAAACCGGTTTGGCTCAGTGGATAGAGCGTCGGCCTGCGGACCGGGGGGGTCCCGGGTTCGATTCCGGTCAAGGGCATGTACCTGGGTTGCGGGCACATCCCCAATGGGAGATGTGCTGGAGGCAGCTGATCGATGTCTCTCTCTCATCGAAGTTTCTACCTCTCTATCTCTCTCCCTTCCTCTCTGTAAAAAATCAATAAAATATATTTAAAAAAAAAAAAAGTAGTAGTAATGGACAAGGGCAATTATATAATCAATTTGGGGAGACATTCTTTCGCCTCAGTGCATCAGCTCTCCATAATTTGGAAAAATTGTAATGTGCGATACTTTTTATTTTGTTTGCTTTACTGTTTATTTTCCTAAGCTGTTTTTCTTCCTTTGCCATGTATTGCATACAATTAATCCTGCAACGCTTCAGAATTTGCACCATCCTGGGATTGTAAACCTGGAATGCATGTTTGAAACCCCAGAACGAGTTTTTGTAGTCATGGAAAAGCTGCATGGAGATATGTTGGAAATGATTCTATCCAGTGAGAAAAGTCGACTTCCAGAACGAATTACTAAATTCATGGTGACACAGGTATCTTAACCATTTTTTTAAACAAGAGAATAATTTTTTGACAGTGAAAGATAACTGCTTAGTTTTTTAATTTTACATTTATCCTGTTTTAGAAGCAGCTCTCTTTTATGTTAGCATTGTTTCTTTTTAAAATTTTTAAATTACACTTGACACAGTATTATATTCTTTTCATGTGTGCAACATAGTGATGAGACATTTATAACATTTACAGAGCGATCACCCTGGTAAGTTTAGTACTCATGTGACACCATACATGGTTGTTACAGTGTTACTGACTCTCTTCCCTATGCTCTATTTTATTTTTTATCTTTTAGTTCAATATACTGGAGTGATTAGAAACTACACAAAATAATTAAATAGCATTATATGTATTTTACATATTCCTTATGTGGGAATTGTTAATCTTGAAGAACAGAGTAACACAGTTAAATACTGATGAACTGTAGTTGGCTTTTCAAATTATTGTATCATTCAACAGGTTAGATTGGAGTTTAGCTATTATTTTTCCAGGCATTGAAAAAAAATCTGTTTCTTTCAATAACAGATACTTGTTGCTTTGAGGAATCTACATTTTAAAAATATTGTGCACTGTGATTTAAAGCCTGAAAATGTGCTACTCGCATCAGCAGAGCCGTTTCCTCAGGTGAGATATTCTCCAAACCTTCTTAAGTATCATTTTAAATATCTTTCAACATGATAAAGTACCTACATAACAAAAAGCCATGCTGTAGGTTCAAGTATATAACCATTTTACAGCCAGTAAGGATTAATACCTGAAGAGTTTGAATTCAGATTTTACTAATTATATTGTTTATTTTTATGAAAGACTTTCTAAACTTAACCAGATCTCAAGGAATACCTTCTGCACGTAGACTGTTTGCAGTTCACCTCTCTCTTTGGGTTGGGGTTGGGAATAAAGTGGGGGAGAATCAACCTTGGTTGGTGCTCGTTGCTGAGCACAAAACAAACTGAGGGGTAACCCTGAATTGGGAGATACTAGATTTTGATTATCTAGTTGGCAGGAAGCCAATTCTTCTTGCTCTTTAAAATATTATATTGCAATCATTTTCACCAAAACCTATATAAGAATTGCATTTCCCATCACCACCAGTACTCAAGCACATATAATACCATGTGTGCCCTGTGTGTGATGCACTGGTTTCATTTTTTACTCAGTTAAATTTCATTTAATTAAAAAATGTTGATCTTGATCCAAATTTATTTCATCACCTAAAAATGAATCATAACCCAAAGTTTGAAAAAGTTTTCCTGAGGAAGTATGTTGGCAGTACCTTTGAATGGTTTTCATGATTGTGTCATTCATTGATGAACCTTCCAAACAGCTAGAATATCTGTTGTTTATATACTATTGTCTATATACATTTAAAACATGTACAGCTAGACAAATGCCTAGAATAAAAACAACAGATGGCTATTTTACTTGGTAAATTCAACTCAAATTATCTTTCAAAGAAAAAAATGTGTTAAAAATTATTTAACCTTTTTACTTTTAAAGAAGTAATCATATTCTTTCTTTATAATGCCTATGTGGTTAGAAATTATTCCTTATCATTGCAAGGTCAAAGAGAGTTCCCTAGTCGGTGGTGCAATTTTTTTAAATAAGGTACTTCCATATCTTATCTCAGATCTTCAAAATAGTATGGGCAAAGGATACACGCCCCCACGGCTAAGACTAAAACTCCAGCTTTCTGACCTCTACTTTAGTGATCTCCATTGTTCCACTAGGAACAAAGGGAAAATAGCATAATTTACTTGATAGTCTTTTTTGCTCAAGTGCTAGCTAGCCATGGTCATACTTCTTTATTCTGTTGCCAAACTGCCAAGTCATTTTACTTTATCAAGATGTTAGCTAAAATATGGCATTAACAACAAAATGAAAGAGTTTATGTTTCTTCATGGTCAATATAGTCCTACTCTTCAAAGACTCAAATAGAGAAATAGCCAATTTCAGTAATGACACAGAACAAATATCATCATAAAAACATCTATGAGGGTCCATATCCCCAAAATAGCATTTAAATATACCTTCATCTTTGCTCTCCTGTCAATATTTGTATTACTGATTTGTACAGGCCAAATTCCTTTTCTCTCATTTTATATTAATGCTTTCTCTGAAGACATTTTGTGAATGAGGCATTTCCTCTGGAAAGTACTTATTTGCTTATTCAGCATGGATGCATCATTCATCACCAAACCTGAACCTCTAGATGAGTGTTCTGAGCTCTACCAAGCTTATCAAACTTCCAGAACTCTGTTCCCAAGTGGACATGATAATGAATCTGGCTACCTGCAGATATGATAAAAAAAAGTCTACATAAACATCTAATTAGCACTAATAGTGCCACAGGCATAGAAAGCACTGTTATTTTTCAAGCAGTCTTTAGCATTACTCTTCTGCTGGCCATATTAATAGTTATCTTTAATACATTTCAATTTCATTTACTTGCCAATTTATAGTATTGATACTTGGGAAGACAGATTCTAGGATTAAGCAAAATAAAAAGTGGGTGTTTTTTTTAATGTTTTTTAAAAATTGATTTCAAAGAGGAAGGGAGAGGGAGAGACAGAGATAGAAACATCAGTGATGAGAGAGAATTATTAATTGGCTGCCTCCTGCACGCTCCCAACTGGGGATTCAAGCTTGCAAACTGGGCACATGTCCTGACATTATTAGGAACCGCGACCTCCTGGTTCATAGGCTGACACTCAATTACAGAGCCACGCTGGTTGGGCAAAATAAAAAGATTTTATATATCATAACTTCTTTTCATCCAGCAAACATTTATTAAGTACCTTTTATGTCCAGGCACTGTGAATCCACTGGGGATTAAAAATGAAATACATAGCCCTGACCAGTTTGGCTCAGTGGATAGAGCGTCAGCCTGTGGACTGAAGGATCCCAGGTTCGATTCTGGTCAAGGGCATATACCTTGGTTGCGGGCACATCCCCAGTAAGGGATGCGCAGAAGGCAGCTGATCGATGTTTCTTTCTTTTTTTCTTTTTTTAAAATCTATCTCTCTCCCTTTCTCTCTGTAAAAAATCAATAAAATATATTTTAAAAAAAAAGTTTAAAGTTCTACCTATATAATGATAATTTCTGTATGTACAGACAACTCAACTGGTATGTTCATTAAGCATCTCCAATTCCCTAGAAAGGACTGATTCTTTACTGAGTATCCTGTTTAATGCCACCCTCACATACACAACTATCTAGGCCAGAAACCTCAGTCATTCTTGCTTATTCTTTCTACACACTTTATATCCAAATTAGTCAGTATATCTGGTTGAGTTTATCTACTAAACCTCTCTTAAATCTATTCTCTTTTCTTCATACCCTGTTATTTCCCCTATCTTCTTTTG